TAGGGACGGCTAGCGCAGATAGCCCTCGTGTAGCTTTGCGCGAAAATTCAAAAACAAACAAACAATCATAAAACCGTAGGATTTCATTTGTTTCATTGTATAATTTCAACAAATTATATAAATGGTTGTAATAGTTAAAATACATCACACTAACTAATGCAAAAATAGATTATACTAAAGAAAAGTCTTCTTCCTGATATATGTCCTAGGCCGACATCTGGAGTCTTGGTATTACAGCCTTTGAACTAGCAAAAGGAGACCCCCCAAATTCTGAGCTCCACCCCATGAAAGTACTCTTTCTGATACCCAAAAACAATCCGCCCCAACTCACAGGAGATTACAGCAAACAATTTAAGGATTTTGTGGAGTCGTGTCTGAACAAAGATCCTGAAAATGTAAGGAAATTTGTACGATATTTAGGAGAAACAATATTGTGATTACAAAAGTAACTAATCCAGATATCATGTGGATTTTAATACATTTTATAATTCTTTATTTTGTGCTGCAGAAATAATTTGTTTATATAAAAGGTAGGTATCTTATAACTTCTCACAGTTCGTGTAAAATATTAATTGTAAACTGTGCAAATTTACGTTAGTTTATCTAATATGATATCTGATATTGTATAAGCTCATCTTGTATAACGAACAATAATGTTAACTCACCCAAAATGAATCTTATTTTGTTAGATTCTGTAGTATAATGCGCCACGATAGTACTGTTAGTTCACTTGGTACACTGATGGAATTACTGTTTTCCTTTGTACTTTATACGAATATAGATACGAAGTTATTAGCATCATATTATGTTGGTTTTATTAGATTAATTTCATGTTTATACTAAACAGTGTACATTTCCATTGCATTATTATATTGTAAAACTCATCGAGTTAAGGCTTAGTCTTGTTAATGTTCTGACGAAAACAAAATGAACACAAAATACACAACAACCACAAAATGATACAGTTTTTTTATATTTAATGAATTTTTATACTTCAAAGTCTTTTAGATCAGTGGTTCCAAACCTTTTTCCAAATGAGGGCCAGCTAGTTCTGATCCCCAAATTTCACGGATCGCTTAGTAAAATACTAAAGTTTTAAAGTGTTTTTAATTAACATTGTAAAACAATATACTTCAGAAGCTATATTTTAAAATACACATTTTCATTGGTCCTGTGGACCGGCCGTTTGGATTATTTTCACTAAGATTAAACAGTGAGAAGAACCTAAATGAACTTTTTCTGTTTTAGAAATTTTTAGAATCTTCAGAGCCATAAAGCAGACTCTCGTTAAATAAGTTCAAAACTTTCCTATGGTGTACTTCTGAAGTTAAGTTTTTTCTTGCTGTATGAATTATTCCTTATTTTATTGTCTTAACCTATCTTTTAAAGTATTTTCAATAAATGCAGTTCCAATAAACTTTTATATTTTAATTAATTCTTATTAATAATAAAGCGGTATTATCTACTCTTTCTTGTTTCGAGAACTTTCTTCTGTTATTCTTTCAACTCCTCAACCTTGTGAAACAGTCAAACAGACTGACTTCGTATTTTCAAAACTCTTCTTACTTCTGATCTGTATTGACTTGTTGTAAAACAGATTCAGTTATTATAAATGTTATTTCAATAGCGACCTACTGCGAAGGAACTTTTACGATTTCCATTCATTCGGAAGTCCGGCAAAAATCCTTCTTTAGTAGAACTTATTGAACGACACAGAAGGTGGAAAATGTTTGGCGGAAGACACAACGACAGTGATTCAGAGACGTCAGATTCGTGAGTTTAACTACGTAGATTGAGTATCAAAGTTTGCTGAGATGCAAAAGCGTAATTTTTTAAAATGTTATTTCACTAAATTGTGTTATTCTCTTGAATTATGTGTATTGGATATACTAAGCAGTGCGATTTATTCGATATTAGCTTTCTTTCACATACTAAACTGTTTTTTCGTTATTAATGTAACTTATATATTAAACGGCACATTCTCAGTTGTATTTGGTCAACTGAGAATACAAACTGTATTTGTATTTTATACAATTTTAGTCACTTGGCATGAATATCATTCAACATTAATACTTTTTATTTGGTAAAAAACAGTGAATATAAGATCTGCTAACGTTGATCATATTTCCCAAGAATCTCTAAAATCACTTATCTCGAAATTAACCAATAAATTTTTGCGCACCTATCTTGGCCCCACTAACTTATCTCCTTAATCACCTAAACATAACCATTAGTAACGAGATTATGAAAATCAATGTCAAAACCATATAAGATTTAAGTATGAATTATCTGTCAGCCCCCTCATTTCTTTGAGGAGATTGTTATTTTCCATAGTATACAAAGATCTGTGAATACATTGTTGAATATCTTTACCATTTTTGCACTAAATAGGAACAAGGTCCACTTATGATTCTGACGTCAAAAGCGCCATGCAATATTTCTGTTTCGAAAACACCTCTTTATAAGATGTCATATTGATTTAGGTTACATTTTTTAAGTTGCTACAAGAAACATATGAAAAATTATCAGTTTGCTGTTTTTTTACTCGTGTTTATCTGAGCTAAGACAAAATGTGAAGCTTTCTTACTTATTTTCTAGTGATGATTCGCGAAGTACTGACACCTGGAAAAGTTGGAGGTGGGATCTCGAAACAGTAAAACGATCAGAAGCTGGCGTTTCTTCTATACAGGTGGCAGCACCAACTAGAGATAATCAGAATGAAAATGTGACAAGTAGTGTCAGTTTAGCCGTTCCTGATCCTACAGCTAAAGAAATGAATTTTCAGGTATACTCTGATATGAAAGAGTGCTTTTAAAATTATGTTTACTTAATCGTTGTGATTCAAAATATAAAAAAATAATTGATTACTTGTGTCTAGAAAATAAAATGGACAATTAATATCAGTTTCCTCTGTAGAGAAAGCGCAAAATTTAAAAGACGAGTATTTATTTAAATATGGATAACACTTTACGTTAGGCATGACCAAATGTTAGCGTGTCGGTCTGCAGATTGAAAGGTTTGGGCCGCAACGCCGAAACATATACTCTACACTTTCAGCTATAGATGAGTTAAAAGTGTGACAGCCTATTCGGTTATTGTTAACCGAGTGACGTGATTGGCTGTCACATTCTTATGATATTACACTATTCTGCTCAAAGCCGGACAAAGTCTTGGTGACGTTGGACAGGGCCGTAGGAAGCGGTAAGGCTGGTCAGGCCATGGCCTGACCACTTTTTTATGGCATGTATAGCCACAGCTTATGTATTATGACTAGCTTCTTTTAATTCAATACATTACGTTGCGTGTATGCAGTATTTCTAGTTAAAATGACTAAAGATTCAATTTCATACCATTAAATTTTCAAAAATGTTTCTGGGGGGCATGCCCCCAGACCCCCTATAAATTGCAAGGTGGCAATGGTCGCACCACTCCCTCTTACGACAATGTTGGATGGTGCTGACTTATTGCCTTATTTCTGATTAGTTGTTCAAAATTAGGAACGGTTTTATATCTAGATTCTAGGGGTCTCTGACCTGGGCGTTTAGCTTATGTGTTGAAAATACCAAATAACATCATGTTATGCATAACACATACTGACTATTTCCACTTTCGGCACATTGCATGCACAATGTATATTGGAAAGCAAAGTGGTAAAAGCTTTGAATTCTAGATGACATCCCAATACTAACGTTTTTTCAATACGTTATATCAAACTGATTAGACACACATATACACACTATGAAAATTAAAAACAAATCTAAAAAATGAATCCATATAAATAGATTAATACATACTGTAGTCGTGCCAAAACCTGGATTCAATTTTTATACATACTAACTAGCTTGCCTGAAAATTATTTTTGTGACAGAAAGCGTTTTACAATAAAGTTTCAAATTTTGTGACTTATTTTCTTACCACTGATTACCTCTGACATTTGATGACCCTTGTATTCAGGGTCAAACCTACCCTGTAATGTAAGTGGTTACTACATGCTTATAAAGTGAAAGCCACAAAAAGTTGGTCGGTGATGGAGGAACCGGGTGAGTATCGAGGACACGTGTTCCCCAATTTTATGATCTAGTACTGAAGAACCCTTTTGAATAAGGAATAGAGACTTATGTATAGTTACTAGGTGTTCCCCAAATTCAAATTTATTCTGCCACCTATGCTGATTACCTGAGACATCAACTAAAGTATGTGGTTAACTGGATGTTAATGTTAGTACATCTGCTGATTACCTGAGATAACCACATACTTTAGTTGATATCTCAGGTAATCAGCAGATGTACTAACATTAACATCCAGTTAACCACATACTTTAGTTGATATCTCAGGTAATCAGCAGATGTACTAACATTAACATCCAGTTAACCACATACTTTAGTTGATATCTCAGGTAATCAGCAGATGTACTAACATTAACATCCAGTTAACCACATACTTTAGTTGATGTCTCAGGTAATCAGCAGATGTACTAACATTAACATCCAGTTAACAACATACTTTAGTTGATAAACGTGGTTAAAGGAAATATTTGCATTCACGTGTATTTTAGTACACACGACCTAGCAATCTTTTAAGCAATATTCCTTTAGGAGTGATCTACTGATTCCTTGTATAATAAAACTACTAAGAATTTGACTATATAAGAACAAATTCAAATTAAAGATAGTTAAACTGAACCAATGTTTTAATAACACAAGCTTGCGATGGCTTTATTGTTTTGAAATTTTTACATGTTCTACAGTAACTCCTGTACGCTGAATCCGAAAATGATACCCATTTTTTACATCACGTACAGATTTTTCACAAAACGTCATAAAGCAATACATAAAAGAAAGACCACAACACGTAGTTTTGAGACTAAAAGACGTAGATTTCACACGCACACAAATCAGGATGAATGAGGATGCATGTTCGTTTGACATCTATGTTTTTCCCTTTTCTTCAGTTTGTTTGTATTTTTGTTAACAAACATTGAAATAAAACATGTTCATTGTGGTAAACGAAATAATAATTTGATCTAAGTAAGAGTTTTGTTTTCCAGGTTTCTAAAAAAAATCCTTGCGTGATAGAAAAAAATGAATATTATTTCCAAAATTTGCGTATCTGAATTATATAAAAGCAGTTATTAAAACCAAAACAACTTTTATGAAGTTTAAATTCGCAGGCCTGTGTAATCGATGTTGAGACTTATGGGTTATCTGAACTGGCGATTCACGGTTACCGGTGTAATAGTACGTCTAATGGTGAGAAAAACAATATCTAATATGATTATTATTTTCTGTATTTTAATACTTGAAAATTAATAGACAATCTCATCTTTTAATAAAATGTTGCCCCCCAGTGGCACAGCGATATGTCTGCGGACTTACAACGCTAGAATCCAGGTTTCGATACCGTGGTGAGCAGAGCACAGATAGCCCAATGTGTAGCTTTGTGCTTAATTACAAGCAAATAACCAATACAACTAAACAATAAAATGTTACATACTGTTTGAATAATATGATAACCCCTTATTTTATTGTTGTCATTTAACTAATTTTTCTGTTTAACCAAGTACACTCATAATCTTTTCCACAGTCTCAACTAGTTCAGGATTTGCCACAACCTTCAAGCAACCTACAGGTCGTACAAGAAGACGTCAAAGACTGTAACTTACCTTCAAATGATGTTATCGAAAATGTAACAAAGCCGAAGGACAAAGATTCTAGTAACCACAAGGTGGAAACTCGAGGAGAAAACGAAAATACTGGAGTAATAAGTGATGTAGAAGAACCATCAACAAACTCTGTCAGCGAGAAGGAAATTCAAAAAGGAGGAATTATGAAAGATGTAGATAATGATGATAAAGATTTGTCATCAATACATCCATTGGATACATCAGAATCGCCTAGCGCATCGTGTCTGTCAACAGCGATCCACCCACTGTTAAACGAGGTAGGAAGAAAGCTAATAACGAAATATACTTTTACATTTTGATCTTCTTAGGACATTTCACATAAAACGTTTCCATTCTTCAGTGTCATGTGGCAACTTTTATTTTCATGTTTCCATTAGATACAGCAGAACTTCAACGAGATACAGTCTGCTGCTTTAGAAGAACTCCATGTTGTATTTGACTTATCTGAAAAATCGTGTCCAGGAATTACTGATGTTTTCGTCACTGAAGTGTTTGAGCAGCTGCTGCCATCTATTACTTCCCAGGAACTAGTGGAGGCTGTAGGCAAACTGAAAAGGTAAATTAAAATCAGGTAAATACATAACTTTCTAACAACACTCCCACAGTGACATTTACAGGACACTAACTGAGCTCAGATAATGTTAAACACCGTATAATACGAAGGATAAGCGGTTAGGTCACAGTGCTAAAAATCAATGGTTATCTAAACCATAATTTGACAAAAGTCTCTCTGTGTGTCCGCTTATAACTGGCGAACCGCTGGATCGGTTGTCACCAAACCTGGTAAGTACCATTAGGACCCCAAGGAGAGTGATATATGTGGCTCGGCGTTCCGATCAGACCCCCCATGTCATCCCTGGGGACTCCTATGTCTGCTTTGTGTATTGTTTTTGCTTATTGTAAACGCTAGACCGATTGAGACCAAACTGGCATGCACCATTAGGACCTCCGCGGCGAGTGACATAGGTGGATCAGTTTCGGGTTTGATTCTCCTCCTCTCACGTCTTCGCAGTGTGTTGAACTGTTATTCGTGTATAAATGCCTAGCCGTGAACATAATCAACAGAAATAAATTTAATATTATTTAATTCAGTTTAATGTTATTTTTCTCAAAACTATAAATAGCAACAAGCAGAAACAACATTCAATGTATCACAGCCTAAGAAAAATAAAGGTGTAGATACATGGACGGGATTTGGAGAAACTTGGGCGGGATTTGAGGAAACATGTGCGGGATTTAGGACCAAAATGTCCGCAAGGCAAAAAAAAAAAATGTCTGACTTGATTATTGTGAATGTTGCGTGTATACCACATCCCACGTTAAAATTTCCGCTTATGTGTAGATATACAGTGAAACCTCGATTTTACGCGCCCCGATTTAACTCGAATTAGGATATAACGCGATGGGTCATTAACACTTTCGACACGGGCTTGGTCCCTGGGACCGACCTCTTAACATAACCTCGTTATAGTTTACATACTAATAACTTTTAATATTTTAAGTGTATCTTTACAAAACCCCGATTTAGCGCGACCCCGCTTGTTTCGCAATGACATTTTATGGACCTCAACGATCGCGTTATAACGGGGCAACACAGTACTTACAAACAACTATCAATATTATCATACTCTTTAAAAATTAAAAATAATGGCGTTTGAAAAACTTAATATTTAAAGAGCATATTAAACAATGGTAATTAAACTGGTCTAATACGGTGTTTCAGTAAGCATATTAAACAATGGTAATTAAACTGGTCTAATACGGTGTTTCAGTAAGCATATTAAACAATGGTAATTAAACTGGTCTAATACGGTGTTTCAGTAAGAGAAACATTTCACCTGTCGATCTTGCTTTTCACTCAGTACTGGAGCTGTCGGGTGTTGTAACTTGCTCAGTAAATAGGTCAAAATCACTGAGAGTAGTTAGCCACGAAATAATAAAAGTTAATACATTTTCATCTAACCCACCCGGCCTGATAAGTTATATAGTATTGAAAGAAAGGTCATACTGACATGTAGTTTTGTTGCTGTTGAAAACCCGCACTGGATGAGTTAAACATTTTGTGTTTGAATCTGTTGCCACTTTTACTGTGACGATTTTCCATTCTTTTTACCCACAGTTTTATTGTCTATGACTGTAGTGTGTCAGTTGATATTCGTGGGCTCAATTTCGAAGCAAAAAAAACAGTTCATAAACAGTTTTCTTTTCATTATGAGAGAAGCAGTCGTGACTAATACTTATACGATTTTTAGCACCACGTAGAAACAGAAACTAACAGTATAAACTGTACAAATGAACAGGGAAATTATTAGAAATTATGGTGTGTACAAGTGATCCATTTGTATTTTTGTATTGAATTATAAACTATTGACCAGTCATCAGCACTCTACTAGTACTCACCACCCATGCTAATGGATTTACTGTCATTATTATAACACACCAACAGCTTGAAGTTTATACGTGTGTGTGTGTTGGGATGGGTATTTTTTGGTATCACATGGATTCGAACCCAGTTCGACAGCTCCGAAATCCAGAGCCCTATCACAGGTCCAACCTTCACCCAATATATAAGTGATGTAGATCAGGATTACAAATAAATTATAAAAATGTTTTACAGATCAAACTTTCATGGGTAATAAATGATTCTGCTAATATGAGAAACAAGTTTGTATTATAATACATAGATATGAAATCGTATGTATAGTACAGCAGGCTGTATTTGTATTAAGAAAATTCACGTAATATACTTTTCACAATTTTAGTTTATAGACAATCTGTTTGAGGAGTAACATATTATACAGTTTTTATAGTACCTTTCTAACTTATTAAAATTTTCTTTCAATGAAGACCATGTTGCTGATCGTGCTGCAGAATATCGGTATAAACTTCTTGTGTAACTGTGGTCAATGTGAAGCGAGTTGAAATGGACAGAAAATTCGAACGTAGATACAACAGTGCTAAGTTCTAGGCACGGACTTTGGTTGTGGATAGTATATTCTGCTGTGTACAAGGTATAACCGATATTGTTATGTAGGCGACACAGAATATATGAGTTATATTGCGAACCGACGTCATACACCCAGGAATTGGTAAATGTGGACAAGAGGTGACAAAAACGGACTGATGTTGTGTTGTGAACAATTACAGTTTAACACGCTTACCAGTGTTACCCTGTGAACAAGTTCCAAGAACGAACTAGTGTTGAGAAATGGATAACAGTTTGTAAGGTATCGGTACGATTTTCTATATGGCAGATAAGTGAGAATTATCGTATTGAACAACGGTTTTCAGCGAGATGTTCCTCCAGGAACCACAATATCCAAACTGTTTAAAAACACAACTTTCGAATTAGCAGATATTACGATAACCACACTCCTAATGAATTAAAGAAACTATGTATAAAGTGTTAATTAATTAATGGAGCGGCTGTCACTGAATTAAAAAAAAAACGCATGTCCTTATCGTGAGTAAACAAGACAAAAACAGTCATACTGGGAGGAAAACAATTATTATGGAAGAACCAACGTTCATCAGGTATATATGTATATAAATGTTATGAAATAACCAGTCTTTTACATAAACAAGTGTTTAAAAAACTGTTAATTTTCGTAAAATTAATAATTGTTTTAAAATAAAATTTTGTTGTAACGAATTAGTGTCACAGAAAAAAATTATGTATTAATCCAGACCTTTACAGTAGTCTCTTTGTATCTTGCACATTGATTATAAACACTATTTTACAACTGGATTCAACAGGTGAGGACGAAGGTATGCCACATGATTTGAGTTGGTGTTATAAAAAATACTTAGTAATCCAGACATTTGCTGTGAGTCTCTTTGTAGTTTGCACATTGATTATAAACACAATTTTACAAATGGATTTAGTATGTCAAAACTAGGGGGTGCGTATCTCATCATAATAGTCAATACGATACGTATCTAGATATTGGTGCGATATCATCGTATCTAGACACAAGTTTTACCAACGGTTTG